TGGAGAAGTCACTGGTCCTTCTGTCTCCACTGGGCTGCGGGAGCACAGAAGGGCACGACCCTGGGGCCATCCGGCCAGGGCTGGCGGGGCCTGAGTGCTGAGAGCCAGTAGGAGACAGGGAAGGTGCCGGCCTGTGGCCCCCGAGCAAACGTGTCGCCCAACCTCCTGCGTCTCCCCACATCTGCCCACTTTCATCCCTCGGCAGCTAACGCTGGGGCATGTTCTGCAACTCCCTCTCCGCGCTGGAGAAGCCCATGTTCTCTCTTGAATGCGATATTCTCTCTTTCTCTCCCTCCCTTCCCTTCCTCAAACCTGCAAATAAAATTTGGTTGTAATTTTTACTTCCAAGAGAAGAAAAAAAAAGAAGGTGCTGGCTGAGTGTGGGCTGGGCGCCGGGACGGCATCCCTCCCTCCGGCCCTCCCTCGAGGTTGCTGGAACTTAGCCCTGGGCTCGCGGCTGGCTGCCGGGACTGGCTCTGGGTTGGCCTGAAGGCACTTCCTCATGGGCTCCCCCAGAAAACGGGGACAGCTTCTGGGCTGGAGACGGGGAGACGCTGGGAGGGGGGGAGCGGGGAAGCCAAGAAAGGCCACTATTCTGCTTTCTTTGGGTTTTTGGTTTTGGACCGGAGAGGGCCGGGAAGGGAAGGCTATGTCACCTTGCTCTGCTCCAACCTCAGTTTCCCCTTCCTGCTCGTGGGGGGGAGGGATGGCGTGAGTAACTCCTGTTCCTGCTATTTGCACAAGAACCCCCGGGGAAGCAGGTCGGTGTTGCCTGGATGGGGAAACTGAGGCACAGAGGGGGGAGGGGTCGGCAGTCTCTGAGGCGCTGGCTCTGTGGCCCCCAGCCCTCACCCCCCACCCGAGGTGCAGCATCTCTGTGACCAGAGTCCCTCGGGGTGCAGGAGAGGGGCACTCGGGGGCTGTTCATCCGCCCTAAGGCAGCGCCGTTCCCACAGCCTGAGGCGTCCGGGGGTCTCAGGGACTGTGAGAAAGTCTCCACAGGAAACGAGAGCCAGGAGCAGCTGGGCCCCTTTGGAAGACAAGGACCAGCCGCCCGCCCCGGCCCGGGCCCACCACGGGCCCCCTCCCCTGGTGGGTAATCGCTACCAGATGCCCGACCGCTGACGTCACCGTGCAGGCCGGAGGGTCGTGGGACTCTGGGGAGCGCTGGGAATTCTTGGACCAAAATCAACATTCCAGAAGGAAATGGGGGTGGAGGGGTCGCCTTGGCTCGTTCTCAGTACCCAGCAGGGCTGGGACAGGGGCAGCCCAGGAACTCCCCTGCTCTCTCGCACTGTCGCCTTCTTCCGGCTCAGCACAGCCCCCTGGTCTGGGGGGACCAGAGGGGACGGATCTCTGGGTCTTACCGAGGGAGCCCCTTGAGAGCGAGAATCCTCCTGGAGAAACCCGAGGAGTCAGACCCTCCTCCCCCGCAGGGCCTTGCCAGCCTGATGTTATCTGCGCCCCAAGTCCCCTCTGCTCCCCGACTCTCCTTCCCTCAGCTCCCAATCTACTTACTCCAGCCAGGAGGGTCTCTGTTGTGTGCCCTACTCCTGGTCTCCATGCACAGGGTCATGTCCCCTTGGCCTGACTCAGTTTCCCCCAGGGAGCAAAGGGGGCCTCGCCCATCTCTGCTCACCCCCCACAGAACTTTCGTGCAAACTTCTCCCTAACTCACCTCTGCAAACGGCCCATGGCATTCACCCTCCCCCAGTCCCTCGGTGCCCCCCCCCGCCCCCGCCCCCGTTCCCTCACTTCACTGAAACATTTCCAGAGATTTTTCCTTTTCTCTTCCACTTGAGCCTTATCTAGTTTGGGGCCAGAGCGAGAGGACAGCGGGGAGGGCATTTGCCTTACATGTAGCCGACTCAGGTCCAATCCCCAGCATCCCATAGGGTCCCCCGAGCACCGCCAGGAGTGATTCCTGAGCGCAGAGCCAGGAACAACCCCTGAGCATTGCCAGGTATGACCCCAAACAAAAAAAGCTTTACCCAGTTTGCCCCTGCTCTCCCTGCAAGGAATGGGAGTGGGGGCATGAGAGCTGGTCTGAGAGCCATGCCCCTCCCGGCCTCCCCAAGACCAAGAACAGAACCTGAGGCATAGTGGGTTCTCAGTAAAAAATAAAACAAGGGGCTGGAGCAATAATACGGTGGGTAGGATACTTGTCTTACACACGGTTCCCAAGACTAGCCAGGAGTGATTCCTGAATGCAGAGCCAGGAGTCAGCCCTGAACACTGCCGAGTCTGGTCAAAAATATCCCAAAAACTAAAAACAATGGGGCTGGAGCAATAGCACAGCGGGTAGGGCGTTTGCCTTGCACGCGGTCGACCCGGGTTCAATTCCCAGCATCCCATATGGTCCCCCGAGCACCGCCAGGAGTGAATCCTGAGTGCAAAGCCAGGAGTAACCCCTGAGCATCGCCGGGTGTGACCAAAAAAAAAAATTAAAGCAAGGAGCTGGAGTGATAACACCAGGGGTAGGACATTTGCCTTATACGCGTCCGACCCAGGTTCAATCCCTGGCATCCCATATGGTCCTCTGAGCACTACTGGGAGTAATTTGTGAGTGTAGAGTCAGGAGTAACCCCTGAGCATCGCTGGGTGTGGCCCCCAAACAAAAGAACATTGAAAAGAATTAGCAGGGGGCTGGAGCAATAGCACAGCGGGTAGGGCATTTGCCTTGCACACAGCCAACCCAGGTTTGATTCCCAGCATTCCATATGGTCCCCCTGGCGAGCACCGCCAGGAGTAATTCCTGAGTGCATGAGCCAGGAGTAACCCCTGTGCAATGCCGGGAATGACCCAAAAAGAAAAAAAAATAGCAAAAATTAAAACAAGTGGAACCCTAATTTAACGGGCAAGTGGAATGAGCCTCACAAACATCTTCATAAGACCCGTGTCTTTCTCCACCAGTGGGTGCTAGCTGCCTCTTTTCCTGGTGTGTGTGTGTGGGAAGGGAAGGGGGGTTATCTTGGAAAATTATCTGCAGCAATCAGGACTTTGGCCGGCAGGCAATGAACTGTGGTACAGGGAGGGCACGCTGCTCAGATCGGGTCAAGTCTAGGCTCTGTGACCCCAGGAAAATGCCCTTCCTGGCACCTCAGTTTCCTCATTAAAAAAACAATCCAGCTGATAAAGACCACTCCCCCAACCCCCAGGTCAGTGCGGCAGATGTCACCCATTGGGTGCTCCAGCCAGCCATGTCCCTTAGGGTCACCTCTGTGCCCCTTAGGGTCACATCCCTTAGGTGGGATCCAGGCCTGACAAATCAACATGGGGGGAGCAAGTGTGAGTGTCCCCCCTCTAACCCCCCCCCCCAGCGTCTGCCTCTTCCTCTGGAACATGGCTGAGGCCACAGAGTGTCAGGGTTCAGCCTCACGGAGGCTGAGGTGCGGTGGGGACAGCTCTCCAGGGCACCAGAAGCCCCCCCACCCATGCCCTGTGCTCCCGGCCCCGCCTCCCTCCTTCCTCCACATCCCCCTCATGATCTCAGCCCGGAACGGGCACCAGGAAACTTCTGCGGCCTCACCTCTTCCCCTTCCTTCCTTCGGCTCCAGGTGCACCCTGCCTCCCGGGGGGTGGGGGTGGGGTGGGGGACTCTAGCTCTCTGCCACTTCGGTGGCTCCCTAGGAAGATTTGAGGACAAGCCCTCCATCCCTCCCGAGAGCATGCACAGGAATGAGGCTCCCATGGGGCCAGCGAGATAGTCTAGTGGGTATGGGGCGCAGGGATGAGCCGGGTTCGTCCCTGCTGGCATCCTTAAGCCCGCCAGGAGAGGTCCTTGAGCACAGAGCCAGGAGTAAGCCTTGAGCACTGCGGGGGGTGCCCCCTCCCCCCAAAAAAAGACCGAGGCCCCCCAGACTCGGTGACAAGTCTCCAATGTCCTCTTCAGAGAGAGACCGCCCTGGGCCCTGCTTTGGAGACAAGGAGGGCGAGATCTGGTCACACAGGGGAGTGGGGGACAGGGCTGAGGCTCAGGGGATCCTGGGAGAAATGCTGGGTTCCTGGCCTGCTGCTGAGCCTGGGAGTCAGGCAGGAGACTGGGGCTCAGGGGGGGCTCCAGGAGGGGCTCCCCATGCTGGACCCCTGGACAGCCCGATGATCGGGGTGGGGACACGGTCTGTCCTCTACCTGCTCTGACCCGCCCGGACAAGAGGTCAGAAGCCCACAGCGGAGGGAGGCTGGGCGCCTCCTGGACTTGGCCATCCCTAAGCTTGTCCAGACGCCCCTTCACCAGCCTCAGTGACGCCTGCAGAGCGTGGGGTGCCCAGCTGCTAAGGACAGGGGCCAGGAAGGTTCTGACTTTACGAAAGTGCCCAACTGGCCAAGTGAACCCTTATCTGTCCAAGGCCGGGGCAGGGGGAGTGATGAAAGCCTCTCTCCTGGGGGGGAGGCGAGGAGTAGGTGCCCAGCCCGTGCCGAGCCCTCGTGGGGACAGAGATGCCCTCAAAGGCGGCTTCGAGCTCCTGCTGCCAATCAAACCCACCCAGGCACCAAGGTAGCAAGGATTGGCACAGTCCGGTCAGGAATTTCCTCGGCCGTCCCCAGGCCCGGCTCGGTCACTCACCCTCTGGGTCCCACTGCGGCGCACCTTCGGCCCACTGTAGTCATGGTTCCCCGCGATCGCCGCCTGCAGCCCCGGGACCCCCTCGGCCCCACGGCTCCCGCCTTCCTACGGCCAGCGAGCCGCGGAGCTCCCGGCAGAACCCGGGGGGCGTGACCACGGCAGGCCACGCCCCGACCAACGAGGCCACGCCCACCCTGAAAGGCCACGCCCGCCCGGGCCGCCCTTCGCCTCCCGCCTGGCCCCGCCCACTTGGGGCGTTGATCGGTGTCGGTGGCGCGTGAGGCCCCGCCCCGCCCCGCCCCGCGCGCTTCACCTACCCGAGCTCAGCGGAAAGCCACACCCCGAGAGCTCCCTCCTGGCGCCCCGGAACTCTCCGAGCTCGGCGCAGGCTGCGGGCTGCCTCTGAAGGTCCCTATCGCGGGCTGGGGGCCCTCTACCTGCAGGAAACGGTGACACAAGGGCTGGAGGAGGCCGCCTCCCGCAGCCAGGCACGCCTCCGAATAAAGTTTTCGCTCTATTAAGCGTCCAGGAGCGCTCTCCCGGCAGGAAAGAGAGCGGGGAGGGTGCTTGTCTGGCGCGCAGCCCACCGGGGCTGGATCTCCGGCATCCCATAGGGTCCCCCGAGCACCACCGGGGTGCCCCACCCCCACCCCCGCAAGAAAGAAGGGTGCTTTTATTTATTTGATTTTTTTTTTTTTTGCTTTTTGGGTCACATCTGGCGATGCACAGGGGTCACTCCTGGTTCATGCATTCAGGAACCACTCCAGGCGGTGCTCAGGGGACCCTATGGGATGCTGGGAGTCGAACCCGGGTGGGCCGCGTTAAGGCAAACGCCCTACCCGCTGTACTATCGCTCCAGCCCCCAGAAGGGTGCTTTTAAATGAGCACTATGGTCCGGTAAACATCATTTGAAATTTACATGAACTCAGCTCAGCCTGTAATCAAGCTAAGTTGACAAATGGTTTTGCTAGGACCCAAGCTGGAAGTTGCCTAGGGAGGGCTTGGGGGGGGGGGGGGGGGTCAGGAAAGTTCAAATCCTAACTTTGTCCTTTATTAGATGCCTAGCCTGTGGTTGTGGGAGTTGGGGGGAGGGGCTGGGAAGCCGATGGCTCTTCCTGTTGAATCTCAGTGTCCCCGTTCAAGTATGAAACTAATAAAAGTACTCCTCACCTGAGTTTTTGTTTTTCTTGTGGTTTATTCCAAGATGTAAGCTGGAGAGAAAGTACGCCAGGTATAGTACTTGCCTTGCATTCAGCTGACCTGGGTCTTACATGCAGCACCCCAACCCTGCCAGGAGTGACCCCTGAGCACAGAGCCAGGAGTAAGCCCTGAGCACCACCAAACCAAAACAAAAAAAAAAAAACGAAGCTTTTCAGGGGCCAAAGAAAAAGTCCAGTGGGCAGGGTGCTTGCTTTCCACATGCCAGCTCTGGTGAGATCCCTGGGACCCCATATGGTCCCCAGCCACAAGAAAACCCTGATGTGGCCAGATGTAGCCCCTAAACAAACAAATACACAAACAGATAAGCCCTTGAGGTTTCGTTCGGCGGTGTCTTTTTTCCTGGTGTGTGTGGGGTGCCTCTCTGGTGGAAGGAAGAAGCTAGAGACTGTCCCTGCAGGCCACCCCCAGCCACCTACCTTTCCGGGGGCATGTTTAAGGGCATATCCTCTGCGGCGCCTTCCTCGGGGTTCTTAGGCTTCTCCTTCTCCGTGGGGTCCTCTTCTGTGGCTGAAGGGTTGGTTCCCGCAGCGGGGGTGGGAGCAGTGGTCCCCGCCACCACCTCCTCCTTGGCTGCCTCCAGTCTGGGGGTGTCAGCCTGATCTGGGGGCCCCAGGTGGGGCTCAGGGTTCCGCTGCCGGGCCTGTGATATGGCCCGCCGGTCCCGAGCCTTCTTGATGCTGGGGCGTGGCATGGTGCCCATGTGGCTGTACATGTCACTGGAGCGGGCATAGGGTGGGGGACTCATGGGGATCGTCACCATGTCATCTTGTGTGGTCTCGAAGGTGTCGGGCTGCAGATAAGACCGGATGCTGATGGTGGGTGCCGACCTCCTCAGAGTGAAGGATCGAGGGAGATTGGAGAGGCTCCCAAAGCCCTTGAACTTGAAGAACCCTGGCAGGGGAAGGGAGGGCAAAAGGTTCACATCAGTGCCAACATGACGCCGACATGTGTGCAGTTTCCCTCACTGAGGTCCTAACGAGGGCCAGAGGCTTCCCTCACCCCCTCTGTAATTGTTCCGTATAAAATATGGCAGTGCTGGAATCACCTCAAGTCCTACATTTGAACCTGTGTGACCTGAGGCAAGTTGTCTGGCCTCTCTGGGCTTCATTCTTTGCCCTAAGAAACAGAGATGAGGGAGCCGAGTTGATAGTACAGGGGGCAGGGTGTTGGCCTTGCAACCCGGCCAACCTGGGTTTGATTCCTAGTATCCAATACGGTCCCTTGAGCCCCACCAGGAGTGATCCCTGAGCACAGAGCCAGGAGAAAGCCCTGAGCACTGCAGGGTGTGGCCCAAACCCCCAAAAAGAAAAGCAGAAAGAAAATGAAAGAAACAGAGATAACAGGAGTGAGAGGACAGAGACAAGCCCAGGCTGCCTGCCACAGAGACCACGTGTCAGGAGTGAAGGAGGGGGGCTGGAGCCATAGTATAGCGGGGAGGGCGTTGGCCTTGCACACGGTTGGCTCGGGTTCGATTCCCAGCATCCCCTATGGTCCCCCGAGCACCTCCAGGAGTAACCCCTGAGCATTGCTGGGTATGACCCCCCCCAAAAAAAAGGAAGTGAAAGAGAGGGGACTAGAGAGATGGTACCGTGGGCAGCGCACTCTCCTGCACGCGGCCAACCCAAATTCAAGTCTCAGCATCCCATATGGTCTCCTGAGCCCCTCCGGTAATAATTTCTCTCTTTTTTTTTCTTTTTGGGTCACACCCGGCAATGCACAGGGGTCACTTCTGGCTCTGCGCTCAGGAATTACCCCTGGCGGTGCTCAGGGGACCATTGGGATGCTGGGAATCGAACCTGGGTTGGCTGCGTGCAAGGCAAACGCCCTACCCGCTGTGCTATTGCTCCAGCCCCCCTCCGGTAATAATTTCTGAGCCAGGAGTAACCTCTGAGCATCACTGGATGTGGGGAAAAAAAGTGATGTTGGGCGAGAGAGATAGTGCAGTGCACAGGTGCTTGCCTTGCTCACGGCCAACCCGGGTTCAATCCCTGGTACCCCAGATGGTCTCCCAAGCCTGCCAGGAGTGATCCCTGGGTGCTGAGCCAGGAGTAAGCCCTGAGCACCTCCAGGTGTGGCCAAAATATCAAGAAAGTTTAAAAAAGAAAAGAAGTGATGGAGAGGATGGTAGGGCTGAAGACCCTGTTCCCCCACCCCCGGACCTGACCCGCACCCCGGGCCTCAGTGAATTCTCAGTTTAACCCCCTCATTTCCCAGATGAGGAAACTGTGTCTCAGAAGGATGAAACGACCCACTGAGGCCATGCCACAGGCAGGGGAAAATGTGCGTGCCGGGGTGGGGGCAGGGAGGGGGTCTGTAACATGGTCCCAAGGCCAGGACGGTCCCCTCCCTGCGGTCTCTCCTTCCTGTCAGCTGAGCCTGTGGTGGCTCAGGCAGTCAGCCTTCTCCTGCTTCCGCGGGAGCCGAGGGCCCTCCTCTGCCCCTCTCCCCCCACCAAGGGACTGTCCCCTAAGCTTTCCGCCCTCTGCCTCCCCGCAGGGCCTCAGGAGGAGCAAAGGAAGAAGCTGCTGTTTCCCACGTCTGGGCCCTCCTCGCCTGCCCGGGTCCTCCCGAACACACGGGGAGGGTGGCAGGACACCCCACGCGATGGGCCACCCAGCAGAGCCTGAACAGACCTTGGGAAGCCGCCGTGGGAGGCCAGGGGGCTCACTCCCTGCCCTGTCCACTGCCCTGTTCTCTGGCTCTGGCCTGACACATGGCTAGAGGGGGTGCCCTCGGGGCAGATGTGACCCCACCGGAGGGAGGCCCAGAGGCTCCCCCTTTCTCAGCCCTCACGTCAGGGTCCGGGCAGGGAAGATCTGGAGGACCCAGCAATGAGGCAGGGAGAGAAACTGAGCCTTCCCCATCTCAGACTGTCTGTCTGGCTGTCTCAGACCATCCCGTCCTGTCCCCACCCGAATGTCACCCTCAAGGAAGACAGAAGTCATCAGGACCCCATCTGCCCTGGGTCCTGGACTCCCCCCCCCACCACCACCCACCAGCCCCCTTGGGAAACTGGAGGCAGGCGTGCAGAGGGACGCATACCCGGACGGATGCACAGCCCAAGAGGCATAGACGGACGGATGCACAGCCCGAGAGGCGGCAGAGCCAGTGGTCCAGGACCAGTGTGCTGGAGACAGTGACCCCGGGGTCCAGAGGAGCCCCCCTCCCCGGCAGAGACAGCAACAGATAGCAAGAGAAGCAGGAAGGAGGGAAGGAGGCAGAGGCTGTGAAGCAGCGCAGGCAGAGACCCAACAGGAAAGCCAGGCAGGGACAGGACTGGACAGAACTCACGGGCACGGCACTCACTGAACTTCCTGTTGGCTTTCCTGGGCGCTTCTGCCTCCATCCCCCTGGACCGGGCAGGCCTCCCGAGTCCGGGGCTCCAAGAGCACTGAGGAGGTGTCTGCCTCACCTCCCCTTCCCTTTTCTGGCACCCTCAAACTCAACTCGCTTCCTCTGTGTATTTTTAAACCAGTGAAACTCCCACAGCCCCACCCTCCCATCCTCTCTGCGGGGGGGGGGGGGGGGGGGGGGAGCCCAGGGCCACCCCCAGTGCAGGCCCTATGGGCCGCCTCGCTGGCCCCTAGCAGGGGGCAGGGGGCAGACCACAAGCCTGTGTGGAACCAACCACAGACTCTGGGAACGGAGCCCACTGGGCCGGGGCCACGGGGGACCTGCCAGCAGCTGTCCAGATGGGGCCAGCGGGGGGGTGGGGGGGAGGGGCTGAGTAAGAGTGGCTTATTCTGTGCAGGGAGAGGGGAGGGGGGTTGGTACGGGGGATGGGATGAAGAGGAGGGAAGGACCAGAGGGCTTCCAGAGCCAGGGCCCACTCTTAGCAGGCCTGGGAACTCTCCTCCCTGAGCCTCAGTTTCCCCCGTGAGCCGGGGGTAAGTTGCAGTGCCCACCTCCAGGACACGGTGCTAGAAAAGCAATGCCCATGCTGATTCGGGCACCATCCTAGGCCCACCTCGTGCTTCCCAAAGTGGGCACGGGTACCCCCCGGTATCATCAGGGTGCACTTTCTGTTTGCTTGAAGGTCGATTTCCGGGGCCACTAAGTGATCCCTTTACTGAAAAGGGGACCAGTGGGTCAAATAAAGCTGGGACTCACCAATCCAGTCCATCACACCCATTGTATGGATGGGGAAGCTAAGACTGAGGCCAAGTAGGTTACAACTCACCCTGGCTGGTCCTTTTTGTTTGTTTTTTGTTTTGTTTTGTTTTTCGTCACACCCGATGATGCTCAGGGGTTACTCCTGGCTCGGCACTCAGGAATCACTCCTGACAGGACTGGGGGACCATACGGGATTCCAGGGATCAACCCGGTCAGCCATGTGCAAGGCAAACATCCTACCTGCTGTACTCCAGCCCCTTGGCTGGTCCTTGCTTTTTTTGCGAGGAGGCAGGGGTCACACCTGGCGATGCTCAGGAGTTAGTCCTTGGCTGGTTCTTGAACCCACAAACTGGTGTTTTTTCACCCCACAACCTGTGTGCAAGTGTGTGTGTGTGTGTGTGTGTGTGTGCGCGTGTCCTCACAAGTTTATATATCAATGTGTGTATGCATATTGTGTGTCTATGAGCATACCTTTGTGCATGTATGTATAATTTGTTGCATGTATGTGTACGAATGTGTGTAAAGGTGCGTATTCCCACACACACGAGCAGAACAGAGAGGAGGAAATGAAAGGTCCTTCACAGGCTGTCCCACACCTGTGGAGGCTGGGCTGCTTGAGCCCAGGGTCACCCACCGCCGCTCTGCTGCCTGTCACCGCCTAGGACAGCTGGAGTGCTGGGTCCTCTCTCCCAGGTAAGACGGGGCGTAACAACAGTGACCGTGGGGGCCGCAGAGCTAGTAGGGCACTTGCCAACCATGCTTCTTCCCCGGCAACACATTAGGTCCCCTGTGTCCTACCAGAATGACCCAATGGCCAGAGTACAGGTTCACATGTGGGAGCCCCAGGTCCTGCACCTGGGACCACATGGCTCCTTGAGCATTGCTGGGGTCTGAGCATGAGCTGGGGAGTAGCCCGTGAGCACCATCAGCTGTGGTCCCTAAACACGAAACCAAAATGGTGGCCAGAGGGACTGAAGTGATACTCTAGTGGGTAGGGAGCTTGTCTTGCACATGGAGCATCCAGGATTGATCCCTGCCAGGAGTCATCCCTGAACACCACTGGGTCAGGCCCAAAAAACAACTGAAAAAAAAAAAAAGTTCTGGGGCCGGAGCTATAGTCCAGCAGGGAGCGCGTTTGTCTTGCGCGTGGTGACCCAGGTTCGATCCCCGGCATCTCATATGGTCCCCCAAGAACCACCAGGAGTGATTCCTGAGTGTAGAGTCAGGAGAAGTCCCTGAGCATTGCAGGGTGTGAGCCCCCCACCCAAAAAGAAACCCCCAAAATTAAAAAAAAAAGTGCCCATGAATATCTTCAGGTCACTTAGTCTGTCTGACCCTAAGTGTTGTTCCTCCTGTCTCCTGTTCCAACAGATGTGGAAATCAAGGTCCCCCGAAGTTAGATTATAGGGAATCGGCACCTGCTTGTCCAGCTGTGGAGACTGAGGTCCCAGCGTCCATACCTACAAGTGCCTGGATCCAACAGGACGGTGGACTCTGGTGGAGGAAGGTCTGACTGAGCCTATTTGGAGGTCGGGGCAGGGGGGTGCATGCCGGAAACTGCCCAGGGGCTTCTCCCAACCTGGGGCTTGGGAGCTGCATATTCTTGTTGGTTGGTTTTGGCGTCACACCCAGTGATACTCAGGGGCTACTCCTGGTCTGCACTCAGAAATTATTCCTGCTGATGCTGGGGGGACTATATGGGATGTCGGGGATCAAACCCAGGTTGGTCGCGTGCAAGAAAAACGCCCTCCCCGCTATACTATCTCTCCAGCCCCGCTCCCAGCGTTTTTTTTGAGCGACCACATAGGCCAAAAATTAAACGCAGAACTCCAGCATGCAAAGCATGTGCTCAGCCCATTGGGAAATCTCTCTGGCCCCCAGCTGAACCTCTTGACTCAGGATGCGGGGAACACAGACCATGAGAACAAAAGGCCTGGCTAGGGCTGAGTTCAAAGTTCAAAAGAGAGGATGGGGTTTTTAGGCTCTGGATTGGGAACAGGGAGGAGGGAACATTTCTGCTCCTTCTACCAAGCGCTGACCTGAGCCAGGCCTGAGGCTGGAAGCCCCCCTGGCCCGTCCTTGGGCAAAGGCTCAACAGATCTATGAGCCCATTTCACAGATGAGGAACAGAGGGCAGGCAGACTGCTACCTCCCAGCTCCCAGGGTGGTATCCGATCATCTTCATGTGATCAGAGGGGGGGGCCTGGCAGAGCTGGGGATGTGGGCGGGGGGTCTTCTTAGTGGAAGGCAGAGGGGGATCCTTGGGCTTGCCCCCCAGAGGAACCCCCAGTGATGGGTGCTCCTGGATTAGGAGCTGACACCCCCTTCCTGCACCCGACCGACTGGGAGCTGCTTTCCTGAGACTCTCAATTCCCGGGTCCCCCATCTGCGAAACAGGCTCCTGGCGGGCCCCCGTTTCCGGGGATGCTGAAGGCATAAAAGGAGTGAGTGCTGGCCCTGGGCCATGGGCTGTGACCTCTGCAGACCCAGGTGGTCTTCGTGGAGGAAGGAAGGGGGGCGCTTCCATGCAGAAGCAGGTCAACAGTGAGGGGATCTGAGTGTTGGTGGTGGTGGTGAGGCCCCCCGTGGGGCCCCGGCAGCAGTGCAGGCGGGGTGTGGCGGCCTCTGGCTGGGGCGCCAGGGCCCCGGGGGGCTCCCCGGGAGGATGAATGGGGTCAGTGTGGTCGCTCCGCTGAGCTCAGAGCCCCTTTGTGCAGCTTCGAGAGTGGCCGTTGGCAGTGCGGCTGGGGACCTGCTGGTGAGTGGCTGTCCCCCAGGCTGTCTCCACCCGCGCTGGAGTCTGGCCCGTGCCCGCAGCCCTGCACACCCAGGGCTCTGCCACCGGCACCGCGGGCACGGCTTCATCCGTCGCCTCTGCGCGCTTCCTCCAGGTCCGTCAGGGGCCTGGGCCCGCGACTGCCCCTTCCTGCCTGACCATGGCCTAGGACTCGGCTGACGTGGGAGGCTTCAGTTGCCAGCCAGAGGCGCTGGACTCACGGGGCCCCGGCTCGAACCCCACCTGGTTGCCTGGGCAATCTCCTCACCTGGTGGCCTCGCCTGGTTCCGTCCCTCCCCACCCCACCCCCAGGAGTCAAAAGGCACAAAGGCAAGATCAAAAGGAACAACAAAACGCGCAGTCGGCATTCGTTTCATTGGTCTTAGATTCTCTGGGGTCTCAGGCAGACCCGGGCTCCCTGAGATAGGAGGGCCCCCCCACCCTAGGCCTCAGGAGACGTGGTCTGGTATTGAGGGGGGGACACATTGGGAAGGTGCAACAGGACCCGGGGAGTCTTCATGTTGGAGGTCACGGGGTCCTGGCTTTGAACCCCACCTCTGCAGCTTCCTGGTTCCCTTTGGGGGGACTTGGATCTGCTAAGAGCCGCGTCCTGAGGGAGGGTTCTGGAGAGTTCTACAGGTCCGGCCGATAAGCAAGTCAGAGAGTCATAGCCCAGCTGGTGTGGGCACCCGCACCCCCAATCCAGTGACCCTTTTTTTTTTTGCACCCCAGAGTGCAGCCCAGAGGACACCCAGGGTCCCGTCTCTCCCTCTGTGTCCGTCGCCGGTGCCAGCTCCAGGGGAGACAGAGACCTAGGCAGTGTCAAACAGCTGGCCAGTGCCTCCCCTTCCTACCTACTCAGGGCCTCAGTTTCCCATCTGTGAAATGGCAGCAGCATGGCGGGGCGGCTCAGTCAGCTGACACCTGCACCGAGTATGGTCCCCTGCCCAACCCAACTGCCCACCCTGTCCCGCAACCAATCGTCAAGGAATCAGAACTCACGAGTAGTGGCTCTGGGGAGCACCGTCCAGTCTGCTTCTGTCCATTCCCACTCACCTTCCTCCCCAGGGGAGCAAGAGGCCCCAGCCCCAAGGGGAAGTGTCTGGCGGGTGTGAGGGTTCAGATCTGCGAGGATGGGGTGGGGGTGGGGGGGAACCTCTGCTCACAGGATGTGACTTCAGGCTGGCTCGTGGGAAACAGGAAGGGGCCCGAGAGTCTGAGGGTGGCGACACCCAGACCCTGATGGCCACCCCGATGTCGAACTCCTCCCCTTGCTGCCATCAGGCAGGCACCCAGGCCAGCAGGCTCAGCCTTGGGCAGGGCCTGGGCTCGTGCCACACTGATCTGGCTCGGTGGTCGGAGTGGTCACTGTCCGGGAGACGTCACCTGGAGTGCAGTGTCCCCTTGCACCCAACCCTCCCTTCATGCTGGAGCTGAGCTCACGCTAAGTGTAGGGCCTGGGCTGCCTATTGTCCGTCGATAAAGTTGTAATTACCACGATTATTATTATTTTCTCTCTTCTTGGCCTCCCCGGCCCCAAGGCAGCCAACGTTGGAGCCCTGCTGGAGCCTCCGGGAGACCGAGCCCAGGTCACTCCCCTCTAAAGACCGGCCTGGTCCACACTGCCAGCTACCGGGCCAGAGTCGGGAGCTGCAGGCAAAGTCACGGGGGTTCTGGAATGAAGGGGTGCTGCGAGGGGCAGAGGGCCAGGCCCAGGGCCCCATCTGGAAGAGGCCTGGAGAGCCGGGGCAGGCCCAGAGGAGCAGGCGCAGGGCCGGATCGGGTTGCTGGAGGCAGGCGCCGGGCAAGCGCTGGGGAGGAGGAGGGTCCCTGGGAGCTGGGTGCGCGACCCCTCTGCGCCAGGGAGGAATCGCCCATCAGCAAACCCCTCCTCGGATCCCCGTCCCAGCGCTGACCTCCGGTGACCTTGGGGCGAACGACCTCACCTCTCTGAGCCTCAGGGTCTTCTGTAAAATGGGTCGCCCACCCAGCCCAGGGGCGGGGGGCGAGGGGGGGAAGCTAGGATTCAGCAGGAGCCCCCCCCCCGACCCAGCGCTTCCGAGAGCACGGGAGCTGGAGGGGGGGTGGGCTGGTTAAACGTTTAGCTGCTTCCAAACCGGGCTCGGGCCCCGGCCGCGGCGGGGCGCGGGGCGAGGCGAGGCCCCCCGGGGGTCTGCCTGCCTCCTGCACGCTCGCGCGCGCCTGCCTCCCCTCCGGAGAACCGGGGGCCCGGGCTGCAGGCCGGGCCTGGGCTCGCCCGCAGCCGCCAGTGGCGCCGCGCCCCCTGGTGGCCGTCGGTTGCCATGTCAACGGCGGGTGGCGGGGGCCCGGGCGGCGGCGGCGGCGGCGGCGGCGGGGGCGGGGGCCGGTCCCTCCTCCCGGGGCCCCCGGCCGCCCCTCCCTCGGCCGGGCCGGGGAGGCGGCGGGCGGGCGGCGCGCGGGCGGTAAACTGAGGCCCGCGGCCCGCGGCCAGGTGCGGCGCGCGGGGCCCCACCTCCGAAGGCGGAGGAGGGGCCGCGGGCGGTGACGCGCCGAGGGCGGCGGGCGGCGGCGGCGGCGGCGGGCGGGCGGCGACGGCGGCAGGTGCGGCCGCGGAGGGTGGGAGGGCGCAGGGCGGGGGCGGGCGGAGGGGGAGGGGCGCGGAGGGCGAGGCCCGGGCGCCTCCCTCTTTATAACGCGCCCCCTCCCGGGCTCGCGGGCCGCCTCCGCGTCGGCTCTCCCCGGCTCGCCCCCTCGGCCGGCCGCCCGGCCCCGGGCCGCGCCGCCAGGGAGCCCCCCGGGCCGCGGCTCGGGGGCCGCCACCCCCGCCGAGCCGCCCGCCCGCCGCCGCCGCCCCGCGCAGCCCGGCGGAGGCGGCGCCGTCCGAGGAGGAGGAGGAGGAGGAGGAGGAGGAGCAGGGCACTGCGGCTGGCCCCGGATCGGGCGCCAGAGCGGCAGCGGCTTCGGCGGCAGCGGCGGCCCGGGCTGATGCAGCGGGACGCGGCGGCCCGAGCCCCCGCCCCGGCGCCCCGGCTCCCCGCGCCGCCCCCGACCGGGGCCTCCGCCGGCCTGGGCGGCGGCGGCGGCGGCGGCGGCGGCGGCGGCGGGGGCAGCGGCGGCGGCGGCGGCGGCGGCGCCTCCTCCTCCTCTGCAGCTCCGGCTCCTCCTGGCCTCCCGGGAACTACAAGTCCCAGGGGGCCTGGCGGCGGGCGGCGGGCGGAAGAGGCGGGGCCGGCGCCGCGAGGCCGGAAGTGGCCGTGGAGGCGGAAGTGGCGCGGCCGCGGAGGGCCCTGGAGCGCGGCGGCGGGACCCGGAGCGGGCGCGGCGGCGGCGGCGGCGGCGGCGGCGGGCGCGGCGGGGGCGGGCGCGGCGGGGGCGGCGGGGGGCGGCGGCGGCGGCGCGCTGGAAGCGGCCATGGCCAAGCAGTACGACTCGGTGGAGTGCCCCTTTTGTGACGAGGTGACCAAGTACGAGAAGCTGGCGAAGATCGGCCAGGGCACCTTCGGGTAAGGCCGGGCGCCCTTGGGGGCCTTGCAACCCGCCCCGGGCTGGCGGGAGGCCCCCTCCCCACGCCCCCGGCTCCGGGCCGGGCCCGGGTCTCGCTCGGCCACGCCGCCGCCGCCGCCGCCGCCCGCGCGGGCCTGGCGGAGTCGCCTGGCGGGGTGGAGCCACGAGGCTCGGGAGGGGCGCGGGGAGGGGCCGCCGGGGGGCGCGGGGCGCGGGGCCGGGGTGGGGGGAGCCCGAGGCCGGAAGCCGAGGGTCGGGGAAGGCACCTCCGGGACCGGGGACCGGGGACGGGCGGACCCCGAGGCCCTGCCCCGCCCCGCCCCGCCCCGGCTCCCTCCGGCCCGGCCCTCGCGGTGGGGGAGGGGCGGCCCCTGCGGAAGCGGCGCGCTGAGCCCCCTCCCCCGTGGTCCCTCCTCGGCCCGCAGGGAGGTGTTTAAGGCCAAGCATCGCAAGACCGGCCAGAAGGTGGCTCTCAAGAAAGTGCTGATGGAGAACGAGAAAGAGGGGGTGAGTAGCTGGCGGGGTGGGCAGGCCGGCCCATCCCCCTGGACTCTTGCCTCCTCCCGCGGCTGGGCGGGGGGAGGGGGGCGTGTTTCCGTCCCCCACCTGGGATCTTCGCACTCAGAGTCCACGTGTGTATAGACTTTCACCTCCCAGGGAGTTTTGGTTTTTTTCTTTTTTTTTTCTTTCGCTTTTTGGGTCACACGCGGCGTTGCACAGGGGTTCCTCCTGGCTCGTGCACTCAGGAAAGACTCCTGGCGGTGCTTGGGGGGCCATATATGGGACGCTGGGAATCGAACCCGGGTAGACCGCGTGCAAGGCAAACGCCCTACCCGCTGTGCTGTCCTCCAGCCCCAAATTCGACGTCTCAATTTCGTGATGCCTTCAGCTGTTTCAGGCCCCTTTCATTTCTTAGGGCAGTAGCCCCGGGGGACCAGGAGGGGGCGCTCACGTGTTGCACCGAGTCCTCCCCCCTCCCCTGACTCCCGCTGCCTGGGCTCAGGATGGGGCCTGATCTCACATACTGGGAGTGATTTTAAGCTAAAGCACCAAGGGAGAAGCAGCTCAGGGGCGTTTATCCAGTGAGAGAGACCGAGTGCCCACAGGGCATTGCTCAGAGACATTGCTTTCAGCACCTGTCCACCCCCCAGACTCAGCCTCTGGGGCTGCCCTGCCCCACCCTCCATGGGCAGCTCCTTGGTCTGGTGCCCGGCTCACTTTTGCTCTTTTCTTTTGTCTTTCCGCCCAGTTCCCCATTACAGCTTTGAGGGAAATCAAGATCCTTCAGCTCCTAAAGCACGAGAACGTCGTCAACTTGATTGAGATCTGTCGGACCAAAGGTCAGTCTTGCCCCCCCCTCCCCAGTCCCCCGTTTTCCGGTGGAGGATGAGGCTCGGAGCCTCAGACCTGGCAGGCCTAGGACCCAGACACGTTTCAGTTGCCTTCTCTCTGCCTTTGTCCCAGCCGTGACTGCCTTCTCTGGTCCTGTCACCGCAGCTGGTCCGTCCCCGGGGGCCTGCTGGAGGCACTGGAAACCTTTGTTCCCCACAAAAGGCGGACTCTGGGTGTCCCCCGGGGAGGGGGTGGTTTGGCTGCGGGGAAAATCCATCCCGCGTGGGGATTCTCACTTTCTCCTCTCCCTCAGCTTCCCCTTATAACCGCTGCAAGGGGAGCATCTACCTGGTGTTCGATTTCTGCGAGCATGACCTGGCGGGCCTGCTGAGCAACGTGTTGGTCAAGTTCACGCTGGCCGAGATCAAGCGGGTCATGCAGATGCTGCTCAACGGCCTCTACTACATCCACCGCAACAAGGTGGGTGGGGGCAGGGCCAGAGGGGCTGGGGCGGGGCAATGGGGGGTGGGGGACGTGCGGGACCCTCACTCCTGCGCTCGCTCCCCGCAGATCCTGCACAGGGACATGAAGGCCGCCAATGTGCTCATCACCCGAGACGGGGTCTTGAAGCTGGCCGACTTCGGGCTGGCCCGGGCCTTCAGCCTGGCTAAGAACAGTCAGCCCAACCGCTACACCAACCGCGTGGTGACGCTCTGGTACCGGCCCCCGGAGCTGTTGCTCGGTGAGGACGCCCGAGCCGGCAGAGGGGGGGCTGGGGCTGGCGCGCACCCAGCCTCGCCCCCCCGCTGTCAGGGCTTCTTGAGCCGCCAGCCCTGAGGCCACGCGTCTCAGGAGGCCCTCGGGCTCAAAGGGCCCCCCTGGGGCGCTCTTCTTCCCAGGGGAGCGGGACTACGGCCCCCCCATTGACCTGTGGGGTGCCGGGTGCATCATGGCGGAGATGTGGACCCGCAGCCCTATCATGCAGGGCAACACGGAGCAGCACCAGCTCGCCCTCATCAGCCAGCTCTGTGGCTCCATCACCCCGGAGGTGCGTGGCCCCCGGCCCCCCAGGCCAGAGCTCCACTGGGCTACGGAAGTCTCCCTCCCAGGGGAGGAGCGGGCAGTGGAGGAGGAGCACGCCCTCCGGAGCGTGGCTGGCAGAGGGACAGGGCCTGCTCTCCAGGGCACCCCCGGCCCGGGGTCCACGGTCGCCTGCCTGGCCTTGGGCGAGGCCGTACAAGCTCTCCTGGCCACACGCCTGCCTGTGTCAGAAGTGGCCCTGGTCCGGTGGCCTGCTTGCCTGGGCTGGCTTTCGGGCGGAGCCGAATGGGTCCCCGCGACTGTCACCTCGGAGGGTCCAGTTCGCTCTCCAGGGGGCCCGTCGGGAGCCTCCAGGATGTCCCATGCCCGACGGTACCCGCTCAGCAGGCCAGCCTGACCCCAGCCCTAGCGTCCGTGCCCGCCAGTAACTCCATCCGTCCTCTCTGCTTGCCTCCTGCCTGTCCCTAGGTCTGGCCAAATGTGGACAAGTACGAGCTGTTTGAGAAGCTGGAGCTGGTCAAGGGCCAGAAGCGGAAGGTGAAGGACAGGCTGAAGGCCTACGTGCGCGACCCCTACGCGCTGGACCTCATCGACAAGCTGCTGGTGCTGGACCCGGCACAGCGCATCGACAGCGACGACGCCCTGAACCATGACTTCTTCTGGTCCGACCCGATGCCCTCGGACCTCAAGGGCATGCTGTCCACCCACCTGACGTCCATGTTCGAGTACCTGGCGCCGCCACGCCGGAAGGGCAGTCAGATCACGCAGCAGGCCACCAACCAGAGCCGCAACCCCGCCACCACCAACCAGACGGAGTTCGAGCGTGTCTTCTGAGCATTGCGGCTCGCCGCCGGGACTGCCTGCCTGCCGGGGGCCACGGGGGGTCTGCGTTCCCCCCTCTCCACACACATTATTTAATCCCCACCCAGGGCTCTGGCAGCCCGGCCCAGCAGGCTGGAGGGCCTCGAAGAAGTCTCGGAGGGGTGCCAGGCCCACCTCGCTTTGTTGTTGGGTTTTGGTGGGGGTGCCGTCCGGGGGAATCCCGCGGCTGGCGGGGGGGTGGGCAGAGAGCCTCCCCGAGTCCCCAGTGACTTGCTAAGTGTTCTTAGCATTGTGGCAAGAGGGAAGGGGTCCTTCTCATTTGAGAGGCGGAAGTGGGGCGCCGGCCTGGGAAGGGCCTGCCCTTGGTCTGACCTCCCCACAGGTACTGGGGCTGGTCAGTGCTTGGTTTCTTCGATAGGCTATTACCGTGGGTTTTGCGTTGGATTGTTTGGAGACCTCCCTGAATGCAGTTAGGTCCGTTGCGATTAAAGTTGTCTTTTTCAGTACACGCATTCTGCAGTGTCTTCACGCGCCCCCCCCCCCCCCCCCCCCCGCCTGCCTGCGTGTGCCCACATTCTTCCTCCTCAGTATTCCTGTTGGAGTCCCGCGGGTGGGTCCCTTGGGAGTGGCTTAGGGCCTCTCAGGCTGCATTTGGCAGTGCCTGGGACCAGGTGGTGCCCAGGATTAAGCCTGGGTGGGTCACGTGTATGACACATGAGTCGCCCGGTATGGTAGCTCACCCCCAATCCTGTTCCTTGTTTTGGGGCCACACCTGGTGGTGGTTGGGGATGGAACCCAGGCCCGTGCAGCCTCTCCTGTTCCCCAGTTAGCTCTTTTGTTTGTTCTGGGGTTGCACTGAACCAGTGATGCACAGGGCTTAACACCTGGCCGTGCTGGGGACCAAACCCAAACTGACGGCTAGGCACATGCCTTACCCGCTCTACTCTCTGGGCCCTTAAAGAAATTCTCCCTCCCTCCCCCCCCCCCCCCCCCCCCGCAGTGGCAGTGGCAGTGGCAGGGTATATGCAGTGCTCAGGAGTTAGTCCTGGTTCTACACTCAGGATTCAATCCTGGTGGGCTCAAAAAATCATGGGGGCGGGGCTGGAGCAATAGCACAGTGGGGAGGGTGTTTGCCTTGCACGTAGCCAACCCTGGTTCAATCCCCAGCATCCCATATGTCCCCCGAGCACCGCCAGGAGTAATCTCCGTGCATTGCCGGGTGTGACTCAAAAAAGCAAAAGAAACACGGGGTGCCGGGGACTGAACCTGGGTCAGCCATTGCAAGATAAGCACCCTACCCACCGTTAGTATTATGCCCCAGTGAGATTTGAACAAGTAAGTTTTGGGTTTGGGCGTCACACCTCGAAGTGCTTAGGGCTTACCCTAAGGCTTACTTGGAGCCATGATGCTAGGGATCAAACTCGGGCCTGCCTGCTTTCCTGTCGCTCTGACCCAGGAAGAGGAGGATTCTGCAGCCACAGCAGTGACAAAAAACATACTTGGGGTGAGTCTCTGCATGAGAGAGCTTTGGCTAGAACCGTGGGTTACGGGAGGAAGGGAACCCAGACTGGAAGAGCAGCAACATACCTGAGGGAAAGTTGTCTGGCCGGCTAGTGGGGCCAGTGACCACTCCAGGCCACTCAGCCTCAGTCCTTGTCTTCTCTGCTTCTGTCCCTTTATTGGGAATGTGCTCACGCATTGACCTGACTGCACAGGGCAGGAAACCAGCCCCCACTCCCACGAGTTGGAGCCTTACTTCTCCCACCTGGGGACGTCCCAGTCAGTCCCTGAACTGGTGGAACCTCCCCTGTGAGGCCTGAATTCTGGTGCCATCCGGCAGCATGGTTAGAGCTGGGCCCTGTGATGAAATGGTCTCCAGAGACCAGTTTTGGAAGTTCTCTTTAGGAGTGTGTGTGTGGTTTGGGGGCCACACCCGGTGATGCTTGCAAGCCCGTTAGCAATGCTGTGGATTCAAACCAGGGATTCTAAGCAGGGTGCAAGGCATGGCCTTATCCAGATCCCAGTTAACATTCCCAGAATTCCATAGAGAAAGGCAAAGCCTGTCCCGGCGGTCAATGGAATGACACCCGGGGGCCTGCTTTCATGCGCTGGGAATACGAAGTTCCTGGGGTCACACTGGCTCCATTAGGGAGGTTTTAGCGTCTCCACAGGGCGACAAAACTTGCATTGTGGGGGCTGAAGCGATAGCACAGTGGGTAGGGTATTTGCCTTGCATGCAGCCGACCCGGGTTTGATTCCCAGCATCCCATATGGTCCCCTGAGCACTGCCAGAGGTAATTCCTGAGCACAGAGCCAGGAGTAACCCCTGAGCGTTGCCAGGTGTGACCCAAAAAACAAAAAAGTTGCAGTGTGAGCTTTTGGGGGGCCCGAGTGACATGCAGAAAGGCGCTTGTATGTGGCCCACCCAGCACCTTCGATGGCCCCCAAGCCTGGCCTTGAAGGATCCCTGAGACTGCTGGGTGTGACCCAAACCCCCCAAATAGCCCACACAGCTCCCACACCCTGGGCTGCTGGTTTCCAGAACCTTCCTGGCCACCCCAGAGGTCAAGGCTTCTGGGGAGCCCTACTCTGGGCCACAGCAGTCTCGCACCCCAATGTGGTGGGGTCGGGGGGGGCGGGGTGCAAGGCCGGAAGCAGGGCTACCTGACCCACTCTGGGGCTGACAGGAGGTACCTAGGCCCATGCTGGGAGCAAGGTCACCAAAGGCCCAGTAGGGGGCGATGGAGAGATGGAGTCTTCATTGGCTGTGGGGGGTCGCCCATGGGGCCTGGCCTCTTGGACTGTCTGGGGAAACCCAGACTTGCACCCAACCCCACCCTCACCCCCGCGGCCTTGTCCTGCCCGGATGAAGGGCACCCCATGACCTGCCCTCCTTGGGTCCCAGCCTGTCACGGTCCTCAGTGTTGAGATGACCGACCACAGCCTGGAAGAGGCCAGTCTGGCCAGCCCAGCTCTACAGGAAGCCCAACCCCAAGGTCTGGAAGTCTCCCCTGTACCCCGCCCCCAGCACCCGGGCCTGCTCTACTCACCTTCGACCCTTACCCAGTTGTTATTTAACTCAGAGGTGACGCACCGGCCTTCTGGAAATGTGAGATTCCTGGCACATTCTAGGATGACCTATCAGGTACCTTGTCCCTGTGTGCTGAGGCTGGGGGGAGTGGGGGGAGGTCTCCGGAACCCCCCCAGCTTCCCTTTCTGCTGGGTCACGGGCAGAGCTGCCCACGCCTGCATGTTGGCTTGCCTGCCCGGTGGCCCAACAGGAAGTGAGGGATGAGAGGGGCCAGGTCCCTGGGCACCTCGTGGCCAATGGCCGAGAAGTGGCAGGGTGCAGCCTCCGAGGGGCCGGTCCCCCCCAGGAGTCCTTGCTGGCCGAGAAGCGTCTCTTTCCAGGTAGGAGGGTTCACTGGGGCACAAGGTCCCGGGGTGCTCGGGCCAGCAGGAGTGACAAAGAGCCCGCACTTTGCAGGGCCCTTGTTCTAAAGGCCTGAGGTGCTCTCGGACCCCTCTGGACCTCAGTGCATCTGCCCCCCTGCCCAGATGGTTTGTGGGGGACTTGAGGGGAGGTTTCCTAGAGGAGAACAGCAGGCATGGGAGGTGACCTCTGCCCCCGAGGGGCCTCCAGATGCCAGCTCCCCTTTAAGTGACCTGCGGCTGGCTTCACAGACTTTCCTATGCCCGTGTCCTGGGGCCCCGTTTCAGTCTAATGACAAGGCGGGGTGCGTCCTCCTGCTGGCCCTGAGCCAGCGTCTCCGTCTGGGGAGGCCTGGGGAGGTCTGGACGGCGCAGTTAGGGACTGAGACCGTTAGAACATTCTGTTTTCTTTTTTATAGAGGCCACACCCGGCTGTGCTGGGGGTAGCGGGGCCAGGGCCATGCCTGGCAGCCAGCCTGGCTGTGCTGGGGACTTTGGGGTGCTGGGGATCGGACCCAAGCCCCCAGGCCAACTAGGCGTGTTCCCTACCCCTTGAGCTGTGTCCGCCGCTCCCATTAAACGTTTCTGACCGGGGGGGGGTGGGGAAGCTCAGACTCTGTGCAACCTTCCAAGGAGGGCGGAGGGGGGTCTTGTGATGTCCCTTCACAGGGGACGGCTCAGGCCAAAGCTGGGAGGACACAGAGTTGCTCCCCGGGGCCATCCACTTGGTTGGGCCCCCTCTCCTGCACCCTGGGGTGGAGGCGGGGAGGACTGGTTGCAGAGGCTCAGAGTTCAGCTGTAAGGGCCTTAAGAGGTCAGCCAGGTGCCCCATTCACTGGGTTGACAAGGCAACAAGTTGCTTCTCTCCCCGATGGGGGCCAACTGCAGCGGGCCTCAGAGTTGGGTGCGATTTCATGGGCCGCTGCCAGCACCAGGCACCGTCCCCTTATGGTGAGCTAACAGCTACGTCACCATCACCTCCAGGTCAAGGCACTCCGGGACCCAGCACGGGTCAGGAACCAGACCCGTGAATAACCAAGCAGTTCCCCTCTCTCGGGGTCCGAGAAGAGCGGGGAGTGGGTATGTGGGTCCCCTCATACGGGACCAGTGTCAGGAAGGAATTCGAGTTTGGCCAATAGAAACCGTTAGCCAGACAGCTGAACCGGTGCTGCAGAATCAGACGGAGACGAGGCTGAGCTTTGTAAATGTGTTTTTCTGGAGTCTCCTCAGCAGTGCTCAGAGAGCCAGGGCCCCTCGCCCCGGCTCCGGGTGACACTCGGCTTGGTGCAGCTCAGGCCTGGGTGCAGCTTGGGGGGATCAGGGAATGATGGGGCCTCACTCCAGGCCTGTGCTCCTGGCCCTGGTGCCACCTCTGCGGCTCTCAGGTGGAAACTTTTGCACCCTGGTTTGTCACCAGCAAGTTCTCTTGTCTGGACTTGACTGGCCTCACCTGTCTAAAGTGTTCACGTGGCCTGGCAGGAAGACAGCCAGGTGATTCTCACACCCCAGGGAACAGTGGCTGGGGCATGTTTTTGTTTGCTTTTTGGGGACCGCAGCTGCGGGTGAGGTGCATGTCCTCCTCACCGTCCTATCGCTCTGACCCCATGCAAGGGAAGCCTGATTTTATTCCTGGAGATGCTTTGGGTCCCCTAATCACCACCAGGAGTCACCCCTGAATGTAGAGCTAAGAGAAAATCTTGAGATTGCCAGATGTGGCCCCGACCTCCCCCTCAAATAAAAGCAATGTTTTTTGGGGGGCTGGAGAGATAGCACAGCGGGTAGGGCATTTGCCTTGCATGCAGCCAAACTGGGTTCGAATCCCAGCATCCCATATGGTCCCCTGAGCACCGCCAGGAGTAATTCCTGAGTGCAGTACCAGGAGGAACCCCTGTGCATCGCCAGGAGTGACCCAAAAAGCAAAAAAAAAAAAAGTTTTTTGGGGAAACTCCACACTTCTGTTTCCCTCAGAGCCACTGAGGAAGCTGCTCTCAGGGGCACAAGCCAGTCCGCGGGAGGCCTGGCCGGACACAAGGTCCCTCACCACCCCCTGGTGCTTTCCCTCCTGGCTGTAAAG